CTCTCCTTCGAATCGCTTACTTCCTATTTAATCTATATATTTTTTATTTATTTTTTATTTTTTGGGGTAATAAAAGAAGGAAGAGAGAGAGGCCGATCGAGGGATTAATGAAGTGAGGTTTGGAAGAGGACTGAAAGAAAAGAGAGAAGGGAGAGGGCGGTTATTATAAAGAGAAGGGAGAGGAGGGAATTTTGGAAGAGCTTTGCTACTGGGACTCAAAATATGGGACCAATAAGGGGAACAAGTGAGGTGTCCTCATTCTATTAGATAATGAGTTGATCATCATTAATGATGACCAACTCATTATCTAATAGTAGGGGGACACATCTTTTCATTTTGGAATGTTCCACCTATTTTTCAGGGCGATTTTTTTTTATAAAAAAATGTTTATTTTATTACCTTCCTCTTTTATATATATATTTTTATTTTGGGAAACTTGGTGGGACGCCGCTGTTTTTTTAGAGGGAGGGGAGACGGTGCGACGCATGCATCCATTAAAACAACTTCAATATTGGCCCTTCAAAGTAATTCTCACACCGCACTTGAAAATGACATTAATCTTCACATCAATTTGATGCTATATATAATTCGAGGATATTTCGCTCAAAAAAAAATCCTAGAATATTTATTTATTTACGACTAATAAAAGAGGAAGTTAGGAACAGTAAAATAAAAAGCAATAAAGAAATAAAGTAATAATTATAAGGTGGGGGTGAGGGGGAAAAAGAGTGGACCCCCTCTCTCCAGCTAGTTGTGGTCGTAGAGGCTCCCCTGTCCACATACCTCGTTTCCCTCGAAACGAGCACACTATTATGATTCCTTCCTCTCCTCTAAAGAAATTTATCATTTCATTATTATAATAAGTTTACCTTGCTGTTACAATTTCCTCTTAAATTAAGTGAATTTAATTATATATCAAATATGCTAAGGGGCTGTTTGGTTTGTTTTCTAGATATAGGTAATTGTATTTCCATGTACAAAAACACAAGTTTTGAGTTTTTTAAACTTTTTCAAGAAATAGATTGTTTCGTTTTGGTTCGCACAAAAAAAATGGTTGAAAACCAATGTATTTATTTTTCTTGTATTTGGTTCGCATGGGAAAAAATAAAAAACTTTTGTTTATATGGCAATAAGCTGACGTGGCTGCAGTTTTCGTCGATTTCACGAGGTTGAGGAAGGAATTGGGGGAGAAAAAAATCTGATGTGGCGGCGATTTTCACCGAGTTTTCCTTCTTCAACCCTAACGAACTAAAGATGGGGAAAAAAACCGACAGAAAGCTTATATCCTACGTTGCCACGAAAAATATGATGTGAAAACGGTGTAAAACTTTTCCACCGAGTTAAAAAACGAACCAAACAGCCCCTAAATGACACTTAAATATCCGACTGTTTTATCACCTTTACGGTTAAAAATTCAAAGTGGTAAAAGTTAGTGCTTTGATATCTGAAGCTGCCCGCTGTTTCTGTTAGAATATGGTAAACACTAGTTAAAAAACTTATCATGACAAAAATGTAATTTCTAAAAAATTAATAAAGCAGACGAAGGATAATAAATATATTAGTAAATACGATTATAAAAATGACATGGGCTGACCACATAGAAGCATCCCCACACGCAACTAATAAAAATATATTAGTGTGTCAGTTTTTTTTTTAAGATAAAATGTTATCTTTTTACAACTGAAAATGTTAAAAATGCTAAGGGCATCTCCAACAGCTTCTCTAAAATTTTCTCCAAAATGGGGAAGCAAAAGTCATATTCTCCAAATTATTTTTACACCAACTCCAACAGGTTCTCCATTTTGAAGAATCCTTTTTTTCCTCCAAAAATTTGGAGAATGCTGCAGATTTAGGGAAGCTTCCCCATTTTTTCTCCTCCATCCCTATTTTGGGGAATGAGATGAGGAATCTGTTGGACCAAAAACCTGTCTAAATTCTTCAAAAGTGGAAAATAAGGAAGCTATTGGAGATGCTCTAATAACTTAAAATACTTAAATGTAAAGTTGATGGATTAATATAGCATTTTAAGTGCCACCAATTATATAAACGCGGGGCAGGAACTACCTGCAGGAAATAAGTTGGGTCAATTAGCGCTCTTGTTTTTCGAACTATTTGACACGGTGTAAAGCTATCCACACATTTTAAAGCGGTGATCCCCGGCGGTCAGGTGACCGCAGCGGTGAGCGTAAGATACCCGTGGGTCTGGGCGGTGACCGGATCCAAGTCGCTCCTGGCTTCCAAAGTATCTTCTGATGACCGGGGAGGTTCAACAACCGATGGGGCCCACAGCGCTGTTTCTGCATGCGAAATCGACACGCTAACGCGGCTGGGTGTGCGCGTGGAGCCTGCTTCCTGGCTTCGGAAAAAAAAGGAGAATATTATTGCGTGCCTTTTTTAAGAAGAAATTTGCAAAATAGATCTATTTTGTTAAATATTTAGTAAAACAGATCGTTTTATTAAATATTTAGCAAAATAGATTTTTTTTGACCAACATATCAAAAAAAGATCGGTTTTACAAAACAGACCATTCAAAACATAGGGACTAGTAGTCCCGTATGATTTAATGAGGGATTAAATCATACGAGACTACTAGTCTCGTATGTTTCGAATGGTCTGTTTAACAAAATCGAACTCTTTTTAGCCAACAGTCAAAAAAATTGTCTATTTTGCTAAATATTTAGCAAAACGATCTGTTGCTAAATATTTAGCAAAATAAGTATATTTTACAAATTTTATCTTTTTTTAACTCACCAAATTGCCCTCGATATGGTTAGCTGAGAACCTAGAGACCAAAATAAAATTAAAACTTTTAAATTCTGTGGTAACATTTTCCAAAACGAACTTTATGTGTCCTAATTTACGGTTCAACTTTGAAAAAAAATTACGGTTTTTCTATAGAGTGCACATGGGCACTCTATAAGAGAGGAGGGAGATAGAGAGAAATGAATGAGGAGAGGATCCCAATGCAAATCAGGGGGTACCCCTCCTCATTCATTTCTCTCTATTTCTCTCCTCTCTTATAGAGTGCCAAAGGGCACTCTATAGAAAAACCGAAAAAATAATACGCTGTTCACCGTGTAAGAAGAGCCTGATGATTTGGGGCATAAGTGTCATTTAATAAAGTTAAAATAGA